TTTTATTTAATTATTTTTTTTTTTTTTAATATTTATATTTTTTTAATAATAGTACGTAAACTTTTTTAAATAATAATAATAATAATTATTATACCAATATAAAAATAATATTGATAAAATTATATGAAAATAAGTTAGGAAAAAAATTTTTTTTTTTTTGCAAAGTCATAGAGTAATAATAATACAGCAGACGATAACGAATGAAAACAAATATGTCGGAAACATGGCGTTAAACGGTTCGTTACCGCCGATATTCGCTACGTGCATTCGAACAATTTCAACTTCTTCGATAAGAAGTGGAAAAAAAAATTTTCGACAATTTCCTCTTTATAATTTTAGAGGATCAATGGCGTTTAGAAAAAAACAACAAGAAAATCCGCATCCGAATATTCCGATATACAGTAAGTCATTAATAATAATTTTTTTTTTTTTTTTTTTTCGTATTTTTTCTTTTAAATAATTAAATTTAATAAATTTATTAATGAAGTAATTAAATACTATTATTATTATTATTATTAACTACAACGAAATAATTAAACGAGATTTAAAGTTGATATAAATTCAAAAAAAATTTATTTTGCCCATTTTGGTTTGTTTAAGCAAATAATCAAATTTATGTATTTATTAACTTAAAATTTGAAAAAAACGTTGTTTAATTAATTAAAATTATTTTTATACATGTGATTTTAGAATATGGCGTGAGAGAACCGGGTTATACAATTAATAATAAATTTCATTTTGTGCCTGAAATGATACCTGAAATAATTGTTCCTGATTTAACAGATTTCACAGTAAGCAAAAAATTTTTTTTTTTCGATTTTTGATTTTTTTATATAATTTCGATTATGGAAAATTTTCGATTTCGATTATGAAATTTTTTTTTTTTTTTTAATAAAAACATTTTCAGTTAAAACCTTATGTGTCATATAGATCATCTGATATAATGCAAACAGAATTTACAGCCAAAGATTTATTCGATGCTATTTACAGTGAAAAAATACAAAATGATTTTTACAAAGGAAAATTAGACGAGGATGGTAATTCATTAGAACCAAACAATTATGAAAAAATGACGGAGGAGGAAGCCGAATTATTAGCTAAACAAACTGGAAGTGATATATTCGGTTAGATATAAAAAAAAAAACTTATTAATTACATTTGTTTTTTTTTTATTCAATTTAAATAGTTTTTTTTTTATTTAAAACAATGCTTATCAATAGTAATAATAATAATAATAATAATAATTTAATTTAATTCACAAAATCTCTGACCAGCAGAGTTATTTAATTTTACTTTTCGTCTTTTTTTTTTTTTTTTTTTTTTTTTTCCCTTAAAATTTTTTTAAATTTAAATATATCAGCAATTATATATATATATATATATACATATATATATATATATATATATATATATATATATAAAAGTTAACTAATTGGAAAAAAAAAAAAATTTCTTTTTCTTTTCTTTATATCTATTTTTGTTTACATTAATCATTTATGAATTTTCCAATTCCAAAAAACCGTTTTTTAATTCTTTCTTCAAAAAAACAATACAGATAATAATAATAATAATAATTACTATTATCATTTTTTAAAATTTTCTTTTCCATTATTATTATTATTATCGTTTTTATTTTTTTTGATAAATCATATCAAAATAAAATTAATTTAAAACTCGTGTAACAAATTTTTTCTTTTTTTTTTTAATCGGTTTCTCTCTATAAACAAAGCTTTATTTTGTCTTTTTTTATTATTATTATTATTATCATCATTATCATCATCATTATCATTATTACAATTTAATTTAAGCAAATTTGAGTATTATTATTATTATTATTATTATTATTATTATTATTATTATTATTTTCATTTTTAATTAATTACTCTCATCATCATACATTTAATTTACTAAAAAAATAACAATGATGATAATAATGATAAGCTTTTTATTGCTTTGCGATAATTTTTTTTTACATCACTATAATAAATCTAAAACGAAATAATAATAATAATAATAATAAAACGAAGCATATATATATATATATTTTCCGGGCTAAATTTATTTATTTATTTATTTATTTATTTTTATTTTTTATTTTTTTCATTACTAAAATTTACATTATTTATTTTAGCATTATTATTTTTTTAAACTATTAAGCGTTTTTTTTTATTTAAATAATAATAATAATAATAATTGACTAGAACTCGGTGGTTAAATATGATTAAATAGTTCTACTTTATTTATTTATTTATTTATTATTTTATTGCTTGCTCCTACTACGGTGTTTTTTGTATAATTAATTTTTTTGACCACATTTTTTATAATAATAATAATAATAATAATAATATAAATTTTATTGTGTTAAGAATTTATGCCGCTTAATACTACTAAACACATACGTCAAGCTTCTAACTACACTTTGGAGAGAAAATATTATTATTATTATTATTATTATTATTTTAAATTTTACCTTTACGAAATTATTTTGCTTTTTTTCATTTGATGGGTATTTTGATATATATATATATTAAAATTAAAATATTTAACGCAATCCGGAAATAATAATAATAATAACAGGAAGCACTTGATTAATAATTTTGCCTTTAAAGGCTTTTGTTTTTTTTTGTAATACAGTTTATATAAAAAGCTCAATCCTGAAATTTTATTTATGTATAAATAATACCATCTCTTTTATAGTATAAGAGAAGGGAAATAATAATTTTTCCAGTTTTGAGTTATTGTCGTCAGAGTTTTATTTTTCCTCATTTTTATTATTATTATTATTATAATAAGTGTGTGTGTATATGAATAATTGGCAGGACATCACGTGGTTTGATTTATATTATATTTTTAATTAACTTTATTATTTAATGACAAATCGTTATATCGTTTTTGCGAATTGTCCCACGAAACGTTTGCATTCGACCAATTTTCTTCGTCGGATAATCTTTTATCATCTGCTGCCACGTCGGTCGAGTTCTTTTCCGTTGATAGATCCGTTCTTAACGTCGTCTGTAACCTTCCAGAATCTTTCAATTCGTCCGACGCGGTATTATTTTGACGGCAAAATATTGATTCGTTTGATTTTCCACTGCCTTCGGCGGCATTGGCGTGAATTTGATTTTGAACGTTGACCATGTTCCTCGTCTGTTTAGAAGATTGATTGAAAAGAAGTTTTGTCGATTGAAAATCAATTTCCGGTGGTGGTGGTTCGTTATTTCCGGTGTTATCGAACGATTGATTTGTTTTTGGTAATGAATGCGTTTTTTGTATTTGTATCCCGATTGTCGGAAGCATTCTTCCACTTCCCGGTTGATGGGGTAACATTCTTTCGGGAGCGGATTTCATTTTATCACTCGGAGGATTTGGAAGTTGACGACCTTCGGCAAATAATAATTGCCTTTCGGGTGTCAACGGAAGTTGTCTTTCGTTTCTTTCCGGTATCGATCCGTGAAGGGATTTATTCGGTGTTGGTAATTTCCGCGGACTGCTACCCGTTTCAACGTCTGTTGATCCCGGCTGTAATGGTAATGTGTTGTTGGTCCATTTTACATCACCCTCAGGTGTGTGTCCGTTTGTACAATCTTCAGTAATCGTTCTTAAATCTGTATTAATTTCATCTCCGTGTGGCAGTGGTGGTAGCACTGGCATTTTTTGTGCTAATTTATAACTCGCTTGCCGTAACATTTGTCTCTGTCTTGATGTCATGTATGCTAAAACGGGTGGCGATTGTTGAGATGCTTTAAAAGAAAAATTTACATTTTATTTATTTGGCTTCTTGGATGATGTGATATGACAAAGATGTGTAAAACCTCTTACCTTGTTGAAAAGCTCCTTGTTTCTGCAGTAAGTGTCGCTTCTGTTGCAAAAGTCGGTGCTGCATAAGTTGCTGTTGCAAAGGAGTTTTCCCTAAATGAGCATTTTGTTGCACTGATGCATTCATTGACGAAGGACTGCTTACTACTAAATCACTCAAATTTAAAAATTCATTTTTTTGTGATGGATTCGGATTGAATTGGTTGGCGGTCATCAATGTTTCAGGGAGTCCAATTTTCTTCGGAACTTGCTTTCGTGAAGAATTTTCATCTAAATATTGTTCCGGTAGGCTCACTTGATGATATTGAACGTGTTGAATTTGTCTCACGCATTGCTCTTCTTGAGAAGGTGTCTGATATTTATTTTTAAGAACTTCATGCTCTCTTTGTACTAAATGCAATTCCATGGCCCCCTTCGTTTTACCCATGTCGTTTAATTTTTGATGATTGAAAACGGTTAAATTTGAATTTATTTCTTGTGGAATGTCTACTTGTTGTTGAGGTACTAAACCATCACTCGCTCGTCTTCCTTCCCGAAAATCTATGGGACTCCTCGTTAAATTTCTATTTCCCGTGATTGGGTTCGGCCTATGAAAAGGCTTCATAGACGACGTGAACAAACTTGAATGCATCATGTTTTTACTTACAACAGGATTGTCTGTTGAATATTTTATCGTATTCGAAGAAGTACAACTTGGCAAACTAGATGCTAATTCAGAATCGAATTGATAATCGAGAGAGGATTCAAATGCCGACAATGTATTTTTCAAACAAGGAGAATGAGAAGGAGAATGACAATGACTGTTTATGTGCTGACTTAGACTTTTTTGATGAACTCCGACGGTTAAATTTGAATTCAATCGTTGTTGATTAACAATGGCATTGGAACTTTTACCACTTCCCGGTGAATCTTCAATGTCCGTTTCGATACCTTCGTCTGTGGAACTGGAATATTGTTGATGACAAATACTTTCGTTTCCCTTACGTTCAGATCTTAGAAATGGATTCGTCGTCGCTCTTGTGAGTGGTAATCTAAACATATCATTGTGTCCCAACGTTATCCCTGATATTTTTTCATCGATTTTAGTCGTTTCCGATTCCGATATTGCTTCTAAATCTTTCGAAATGTTTGATATGTTTAATGAGTTTATCGATTCCGGTATAACTATTTCGTTTTGAGATCTGACAACATCCATAAAATTGGCAATGTCGCCCGATGCCGTAGATTTATTTTTTTCATTGAAATTTTGAGCGCTCCGTGAGGTTTGCATTTGTTTATTCCCTTCGAATCCCGTCGTAAACGTGTTACCATATTGATTTTGTTGCTGTTGTAAAATTTCAAAATTTTCTTTCAACAATTTATTACTTTGCTGTAACAGGTCTTGCCAATCGAAATTTTTTTGCTCAACATCGAAAATATTATTTTTATCATCATCGAAAATGGAACGATGACTTTCCGTTCTTAAAAAAATCGGTTCGCGACTCATTTGTTGATTCACGTACTTGAAATCGTTGAAATTTTGAGCGGGAGAAATTATACCGGAAGCGATATCTTGAATCCCTCTTTCATCAGCGATATGTATTTCAAAATCCGTGCTCTTTTGCAAATTTTTCATTTCTTTTGTACAATGTTTGGGGGTTAATCCGTTTTCGCTTTTGATTTGTAAATTCATTTGAAGAGCATTATAAAATTCTTGAGGTATTGGCGATGATGATCCGTGTTGAGGAAAGCAAATAGCTCCCGAGTTAGATAAATATCTTGTATTTTGCAGTCGTGGATCTTCTTGAGAATTCTACAAGTAATTTTTAAAAATGAAAGCAACACTTTCATTTTAATAACTTCCATGCAAACATACAAAATAAAATCAGTAAAAAAAAAAAGAGGTATTCTTTAACCACGAACCATAAATTTTTCTCGTCCTCTCTGAGGCTCATCCAACCACTGATCCATTCCCGGAAAAACATAAAGACCTGAAGTTCTATTCGGATTGGCTAAACCGAGAAAATCAACTGGAATGGATTCCGAGATAAAATCTTCCGGTTTAATACTTTCGTTAAACTTTCCCATACTCGATGCGGTTGACGAATTAGGAGGTCTACACGAACCGTCGAGATATTTTTGAACGTCTAACAAATTGACATCGCGATTCCTATGTTCGGTACTTTCCGCGATTCTTATGTTATTATCACCTGTTAATTTTCTCATTGCTTGTTCCGCTATCGAACTCGGCCTCCTACAATCTATTTCGTCATCGGTATGACAACCGAATTGATTTACGTTTAATTCTTTGCGATGCTGACGAAGTCTTTTTAATAAAAGATAATAAATGGCCGCGTGATGATCGTAACTGCCGCAACGAAGAGACTAAAAAACAAAAATTTATTGTCTTTTAAATAAGTCTTATGAGTCACTCCGAGGAAAACTATAAAAAAATTTATAGGAACCTCTCGAGTTTTCACCGAATCGATACCCAAACTTTGCATGAGTCGTAAAATCTGATCGTTTAATTCGTGCGTTGTTCCGATATTTGTCGAATCAGGTAATTTAGGTATTTCGGCTTGCATCCACCTGTGCTTTTTAATATTTTCTATTGAGTATCTTTTACCAGGATCAACGACTAACATTTTTCTTATTAATGATTCGCAATCTAAAAATAATATAATATTAAATAGTAAAAACTTTTTAAATATAAAATGACTCTGTTAATCAATGTTTAACTTTTTATAAATCAAACAATTTACAAAAAAATCCAATACTATCATAATTTCGATAACTTCGTTTCCCGAAGAATTTTTTCAATATAATCAATAGCAAATTATTATTATTATTATTATTATTATTTTTTAATTATAAAATGAAAAAAAAAAAAAAATTCAAATAATAATAATAATAATAATAATAGAAAAAATTGATTCGTGAATATTTGTTTTAAAAGACGCAAAATATACGAATAAAGAAACTCGAAATGGGGAAAGCGGTCACTGACGTCACTCTGGGGCGAATGACGTAAATGAAAGGGTTAGATTTTCATAACCTTTTCCAACTCTTAGATGATGAAAATTTTACTAGAATATAAAAAATAATTTTTTTTTTTTTCTCGAAATATCATAATAAAACGTATAATTGAGACGTGATGCGGGGGCGAGGGCGGGGGGCACGTGGGAAGGGGTGGGGAAAAAAAATATTTGATAAACCTAAGGTTCGTACATTACCAACCTGAGCTCATGAAATAAGGAATCCGAAAACGACCTGATAAAACTCGATCTTTTAAAGATTGAAGTGTGGATCCATCAAATGGAAGAGCTCCACATACTAAAACGTAGAGAACGACCCCTAAACTCTGAAAATAATAATAATAATAATAATAATAGTAAATTTTTAATTAAAAAAATGTTTTTCTTATTTCTATGCTTGATACCCCCCCCCCTTAGTCACCCACTTTTTCTTGCGTGGAATTTTTAAATTACAAAAAAAATTTTTTTTTTTTATAACATACGTACGTGGACTTCACACGTGCGTCACATTTTTTTTTTCTCTTTCTTTCCACACTCACACACGCACGCACGCACACACGCACGCAGACCGATTATTTTATTTGTTTGATATATGATAAGATTAAGTAAAATAGGATATCTTACCCAAATATCAATTTCGGGTCCTACGTATTTTAAACCTTGAAATACTTCTGGAGCGGCATAGGGAGGAGAACCGCACCATGTTGAAAGAAGTTCGTTCGGATTATAATAATTACTAAATCCAAAATCTGCAATTTTTATTTCCATATTTTGATCCATTAAAAGATTTTCAGCCTGAAAAAAGAGCAAAGGGGAAAAAAATTTTTTTTGTTTGTTTGTTTGTTTGTTTGTTCGTTCGATTTTTCGAAAAAAACTTTATGCACACGATTTCTTTTCTCTCTCTCTCTCTCTCTCTTTCTCTCTCTCTCTCTCTCTCTCTCTCTCTCTCTCTCTCTCTCTCTCTCTCTTTCTCTCTCTCTCTCTTTTTCTCACCTTTAAATCTCGATGAACAATTTGCTTACTATGACAATATTCTATTGCTGAAAGTATTTGCCAAAATTTTTTCCTCGCCGTTTTCTCATTCATTCTACCAAATTTTGCGATGTAGTCTTAAAAACAAACAATAATAATAATAATTTGAAATAACGGTTTTTTTTTTAAAATTAAAAATCATTATTATTATTATTAATCAATCTTACCAAATATTTCGCCTTGACTAGCATATTCAGAAACTATATAAATCATATTTTTAGTTTCCATAACCTAAAAATAAATTTTTCATTTTTTTTTCAAATTAAAACGAATAAAAAAAAAATGAAAAGACCGATAATAATAATGATAATGATAACGACCTGAAATAATTTAATTATATGTGGATGATCGAGTTGTTTCATTATGTCAACTTCTCTATAAACTTTAAGCAAATTAACGGCATCTAATTGAGTTTTGTCAATTATTTTGATTGCCCCCTACAAAACAAAAAAAAAAAAAAATGGTTGGAAAAACTTTTTCTATCCTTCTATACTAAAAACAGATAATAATAATAATAACTACATGTATTAGTTTCAACGTTTTTTTAAAAAAAAAAAAAACGTTGATGACGTAATTATCATAGAGTAGATAAACAAACGAGAAAAAAAAATGTCGAGTTAAACCCAAGGATTTTTAGGTAATTTTAAAAGATTGGGAGAAAAAAAAACGTCAATTGGGGCAATTTTTCCTAAGCGTTTCGTCAAAACTTTGATGACGTTTTACATGTCTGACATATTAGAATGTTAAATGCGTGGGTGGTTTTTTTTTAAAACAATTCCGTGCACGTACCCATTAACAAAAAAAAAAAAAAAAAAAAAACGTTTGGGTGTATAATAATTTGTCGCCAATTGATCGCCGCCATGTTTTTCTCATGAAAAAGTCACTCGATTCATTAGGAAAAAAATTTTTTTTTTTTTCTTTTTCTTTTATATTAAACCGTTTAAAATAAAATTATTTATTATTTATTAATCTTACCTGAGTTTTTGTTATTCGATGTCTTGCTAATTTGACAACGGCAAAATTTCCTTTTCCTATTGTTTTTTCTATGTCATAGAAACCTACACGAATGGGAGCCTTCTGACGACGTTCCGACATTTTCACATATCACCATATTAACAACATTTTTTTCGATTTATAAATACTATTATTATTATTATTATTATTTTTCCCCTCCTTTTTCAATTTTGTCCCTTTCGTCGTTTTCATCAAATTCATCATTGCCTAATATATTTTTTTTGTTTTCCCGACATTTTGTTTGTGGTGGATTGACGATACGATAGCCC